ATGCATTAAATAGGTGCAAAACCCAATTAGACACACACAGATGGCTTCCTGGCTCCTTCTACATGGATTCTAAGCATGGAAACTGTGAACCGACAGAGGCAACTAGTTCAGAGAATAACCGCAGCGAAAAGAACACCCACTGCGTTTTAAACGCAGGGTTAGGATCACGCTAAGCAGGAAAACTAAGGTTTCCAGGGCCAAAGTTAATGCTGAGGAGAATAAAAGCCCTGTATCAATGGAGCCCGATGGCTTCGACTAACAGGCTCAGTGGCAGCCCTAAGCCCTCCTGGTAAAATAGGCCACCTGGTAACAGCAGTCCTCGACCTTGGGCACCAGGGATGGGTTTCCTGGAAGACAATTTTTCCATGGACCGGGGCAGGGGTGGAGGGGTGATTTCGGGATGATCCAAGCACATTATATTCTTAAGTACTTTATTTCATTATTATTTCATGGTAATAACAACGCCCAGTACCAGTCCGTGGCCCAGAGCCTGGGGCTCCTGCTCTATACAGTAACAACATCCAGAAAATCCACATGGCGACACTGGGTCCCAAAGCTAGGGCTCTGGGCCCTGGCAGTTGTTAGTGAGAACACAGCGTAACACTGAGGAAGAGAAAGCATGTCCCAGCTCAGGTGTTGGTGTAAGGGCAGGGGAGGCCAGCCAGGTGCGTGGAAGAGAGCTGAAGGGATTTCAGGAAATTCTGAGGAGAAAAGCCATCATTTCATGAACGAGACCTGAGCTATACAGTGATAGATCGGGCTGCATTAGCATCAGCGTCGGGGGTGAGGGAGATGCCTGATTTGGTGTTTCCCTTCTAAGAAGGGCTGTTTAACTTCACTATGCTGTCTATTCTAATGATACTCAACATATTCTTTTTGAATAATTATTTCATTTAACTTTATTTATTTTTAATTTCACCAGAGAGAAACAGAGCGAGAGAGAGAGAGAAAGAGGGAAAATGAGAAAACAAACCACTAGGTCGAGGACTCGAACTGCGGTCAGCCATGCACCCCTAGCCACCACGCCACCTGCCAGCCCTGGTATTCAGCATATTCTTTAGGGAGCATGTTAATATTCCTCTAGTTTTATGTATGGATGAAAAACAGTGGAGCGCTCAGACAAAGCCTGAGGTCTTTAAAAACTTCATGGTGTACATCAGCTTCTGCTGCGTGTCCCAGGCTACTTCAGGAAGTTACGCCTCCCAAAATAGACCTCATTTGCAGAGAGCTGCCATTTTCATGGAATGAATATGAAAAAAGTCATTGCAGAGAAAATGTGTGTTGAGCAGAAGTCAGCTCGCAGAAACAGGACTGGCTGGCCAGGCTCTGCTGGCCGCCCTGCAGAAGCCAGCAGGGGACAGGGGCTGCTCTCTGAGGAGGAGGGTGGCCACTGACTCTTTCTTTTTTTTTTTTAATCAGCTTTGTCCTCTGTTTAATTTCTCTAGCAGTTGTGAGGAGTTAGCCATTATAGTTGAGAGGCCAGTAAAGGGCAGAGTAAATAAAGCTGATTTTGGCCATGCCAGTGCGGCAGGGGCAGCTGCAGGGGCAGCTCGGGGGCAGCCTTCGCATCTGGGGCCCAAGGTCGGATGAGCTCAAAGCTTTCCCTCAGCAGGGACATCGCCCAGGACTCACAAAAGACCTTGGCTTTCGGGAACCACTCAGACTTTCCCGTAGCTTTATTTGATGAAGTAGTTCATTGTCCTTTCAGCAGCCTGCCTGTAATTCCAGCCTTGTCCAGTGATTAAAGTTACAAAATTCTAAGTCACGATTAGCCTGTCCAGGGCTGAAAGCCAGATAAGACTTGGAGCACCGAGTGCCCGGCACACAGGCCTCTGAAGCCTCCACACTGTTCAAAGCCAGCAGGAAAGGCTGCTGGTCAGCGGGCGTGCCTTACACCGCACTGAGGCTGTCTGGCAGTCCTTACTGTAGACAGCTCATTTCCCCTTGCCTCTTTAAGTGCGTAAGAACGAAGCCAGGAGCCAGATTCCAGAGAAGCAGGTGAATTTACAGTCCCACAGGACGGTCAGAAAGACCTCAGGCTACGTCTGTCTTGCGCGGGCCCACCCTCACGGTTACCTATGGCAGCACGGCAGCCCCAGTAGGGGCTGGGCCTCTGAAAACCCGGCTGCTCTGTGGCTCCGCGGTGCTCTCCAGATCACTGCCCACTCAGTCCCTCCTGTCTTCTGTCCTTGCCCTTCTCAACCAGGCCGGCCTGTCCACCTAATAAACACCGCTAGCCAGAGGGGTTCCCTCCCCGCCCAGGCCCACTCCTGCCCCCTTTCCTCCCTGTCCACTCTGCAATGGCCCAGTTCTGCCGCGGCATTTCCTCCTGCTTCCCGTCCTCTTCGTATCCACTCCTGCTGAGCAGAAGCCCCGCAGTACCCAGCGACCTCACTGTGCTCACCTCCCCTCCCCGGCACCTACCCCCACAGGACAGGGGATCAGATCAGATCCCACAGGTAGACACTGGGCCCAACCTAGCCCCTCTGTGTGCTCTGCTACAGAGGGGTTTTTTTGGTTTGCTAGAGGGCATATGTGCTCAGAGAGGGGTGGGTGGGGGGAGAGAGCACTCCTCGTGTGGAATGGTCGCACCACAAGCCCTTCCCCATCACCCACCGTTCAGAATGTTGAGCACACGAACCTTGCTGTGTTTTTAGTCTGGGTCTAGGACTCAAACCCTACAGCTGGTCATGTGCAATCCAGCCACTTATCCTCCTGCCCTCAGCTAGCCCACGGAGCGGCCAGCCTCTCACTGGCTTTACGGTAGCGTGGTTCATGACTGAATCACAATACTGAAGACAACAGGATGAAGTTCTCCCGCTCTCCTGGCATTCCCGTCAGCTCCCCGGGATGTATCCAAGAACCCCGGGGATACTGGCCCCAAACCTCTCACTACTGCGTTTGACTTACAGGGACACGCCTATGAGGACACTTACTGTAAATTAGGCGCAGTAGGGGTTAACAACGACTAATTATAACACAATTCTAACGACGTACTGTAATAAAAGGAAACGTGGCATCTCTTGCGCTCGAAACGCGGAATTGTGCTACACTCACCAGTTTTTGGACAGAGGTTGACTGCAGGGGAGCCTGCAGGAAGGGCCACTGGTGGGTGCTGTTTGGTTTACTCAGAAACATTGTTTTCAGATGCATTTCACACCCAGGATCCTTGGAAGTCTCCACTCGAACTTCTGACCATCTCTGGATTTTAAAAAATGGCATTATAGCCCTTATCTTTGGAATAGGAAAATACCCCAACTATAACCCAAAGAAGAATGGGAGGGTCTGCTCTCTGTCAGCGGAGAGTTGACTTCTTTGATGTAAGGGGCGCTCCATAGACAGTAACTACTATTAAAGTAATGGCTTCTAGGTCCCAGCAGGACGGTGTGACACCAGGGCCATGTGGGGGACCCTGGTCTCTGCTGGAGGGTCTTGGCCTCTGAAACCCGATACACGGGCTCAGGAGAGACACGCGCAGACGGTCAAGCAGCGTGAGCTCCTGGGCGGTGCCCAGCGAGGCTGCCTTGGCCAGGGGCAGTTCTGAGAGGCACCAGGAAGGTGCCACGCCCACGCTCTGAAACCTGTTCTGGGACACCCTGTCACCCTCCCAGAGCTGCACTCCTTATGTCGCGTCACTCCCTAAAGCACCAGATCTCCTGCGGCCCCCATAACTTTCCAGAGAGGGGTCTGCAGGCTGACCCTGGGCTTAACTTAAACTTTCCGGAAAATTCACAGCGGCTCCCCGCGGGCTCCGCCTCTCTGGCCACGTGGGTGCAGCGCACCACCACGGCGCGGCTGGAGCCGGCGGTGTAGACCTGAAGAGGGCGGGGCGCCGGGGCGGGAGCGGGAGCGTGCTGGCAGTAAGGGAGCGCAATGGACCCGGAGAGGGTGGGGCGGCCCAGTGCGTTTGGAGGGCGGGCCCAGGAGGCCAGATCCGACCTGGAGAGGGTGAGGCGGTCTGGTGCGTTTGGAGGACAGACCCAGGAGGCTGGATCCGACCTGGAGAGGGTGGGGCAGCCCGGTGCATTTGGAGGGTGGGCCCAAGAGGCCGGATCCGACCTGGAGAGGGTGGGGCTGGGCAGGGCGGCGGGGTGCGGTTGGAGGGGAGACCGAGCTCTTCGGGCGGGCCCAGTGGAACTGAACGGACCTGGAGAGGGCGGGCCGGGCGGAGACAGGCTGGGGAGGGCGGACTGGACTCGGAAGGGGC